CACACACACACACACACACACACACACACACACACACAAACACACAAACACACCTCCCCCCTCTCGTCATCCCTGGAGGTCCCGACCACCCTTTCCCGCCAACTCCCCACGGAACCTCACCCGCTCGCCGCCCCCAATTCTCCGTCGACTACATGGCATCGCTTCCGCGGGAGCCGTCCACGAATACCGGCAATGGCAACATCATGAAAATCACAACCGAAAAAAAAAAAACCCAGTCAATTACGACGGCAAAGAACCAACTTTGATCAACACAGCACCTAACGGCCTACATGGCCGACCGACCACGGATGGCGGCAGCGATCTCCAACAGCGCGTGGCACATCATCCTCTGCGTCTCATCGGACGCCGCATAGTGCACTTTTTGGACGGCAACTTCCTGCTCCAATATGTCGCATTGCCTCGTGAAGATGCTGCATTGCTACTTGCTAGACAATTCGATCGTCGACGACATCAGTGCGCCATGGCGGTCCATGACATCAATGATGGACTCCAATGCCTGCTGACGCGCGTTCTTCCGCTTCCCGCCTCCCGCCCCGCTGCCTGCGTTGTTGTCGGACTCCCTCGCAGAAGAACGTTCTTCAGGGCAGCCTTCACCTGCCGCCTCACTACAAACAGACTCCCCGCCACCCGCTCCTCGCCTGGGCAGCTGCACCCCCTCTGGACTGTCGGTGTCGGCAATGTTGGGAGGGAAAATCGTGTGGTTCCCCACCATGCCTGCGTGGATCTCGTTGTACAGCGCCCTGCCCATCCAGAACTTGAAGTTGTGCTCCTTCCTCTCTTCGTTCGTTAGCCTGGAAAAATCTGCCTGGCCGCTGGCCTTCTGAAACCTCTGATCCGCTTCAACATGTCATCCCACTTCCACTCTTTCGTCTTCATCCGCCCGTAATTGTGAGTCAAGCCGGCGAGGTGCATATCTTGCTCCCGCTTGCATCGCATCAGGAGCATTTGGTCTTCTGCAGACCAGTACGTCGGAGACTTCCCGTCGTCGTCGCTCACACCACCTCTACTTCCACGGGCAATGGATCGACCACAGACACCACCTCTGTCGCGTCCTTTCCCCCTCCCACCCGTCTTCCCCAAAGGCCGAATAGGAATGTCGTCGTCGTCGTCCCCCGCTTCCACGTCCTCCCTCATCCCTTCGTCTGCATCGTCACCGAATCCACCGTCGTCTTCCCTGCCATCGTTGTGCGCCCGCATGTTGGACACTCCACGTGTTATGTTCTCCACAGTGGGTTGTGGACGTACCGGCGCTCTGCACGTTCCCTCGTCCCTCACTTCGGATTCGATCGGCGTTGTGCACGCAGGCATCGGCGAACGTGCACCGCCCATACGCAGGGACCCGATGGCCCGACCACGCCAGTCATGGGTGCAGCGCGACGAAGTGTGGACTGCTCCGTATGCAGACTTCCACCATGTTCAACGCCACGTGCCGAACGATCTCCGTCGATGATGAACGTACAGCTTGCCTCCCTGCCGCCGCCAGAACACAACCCGAACCTCATATCAACTCCTCCGCCGTCGACGTCCCGCAAGCCTTGATGCAACAGTGACGTGAACTCTCCCCCTTCGTCGGCAGCCGACCCGCCTGCTCGCACCGTCTGCGACCACAACTGAGTCGAGCCGCTGGCGAGAGGCAACGTTGAAAGTTCTTCCTTCTCCGGCTCCTTGTCCGACGGGGGCAGTGGCGTCTCCCACGACTCCAGATGGGTGTACATGGACGGGTCGTACGGCCTTGGAGACTCCGCTGCCGAAGTTCGAACTCCTCCCTAACCTGCAGCAGTTGCCCCTCGTGCCTGCATGCCCGCCATTAGACGTTCCCCTGCCGCCTGTCCCGTCGAAGCCCTCCTCTTGCGTTGTTGTTTCCACGGCCGCCACGACAAACACACGTGGAGGAAGACGACAATCAGGAAGACAACGATAGCGAGTACCAGCAGAGGCAATCTCCTCTGCACGTCAGCCATGAAATTCACCTCTGCAGCCGCCCTCGCACGTCACCACTGCAGATGTGTGTTCCGAGATGCCTGGGACAGGGGCGCTCGACCTTCATATGCCGACAACCAGCACAGAAGACGACAAACATGCCTGCCTTCCTTTTGAAAATCGACCGCGCTGCCCGAAGCGGCTCCGTCTGTCATCCTGCGCACGTCGACGTCCCACTCCGCATCTCGCAAGCGACCCAACGGTCCACTACGGGCGCCGACACGCCCACGCTCAGCCCTCCGCGCTCCACCCTGTCGGCCAACGGCTACCGCTCCCGGCCGTTGCCGCCATCGACCCGCGCAAAACCTCCGATGTCCGACCACGGACCCGACGGACCGCTCCTGGACCAGCAACCCCATGTGGACGGTGCCATGCACGCGACGCGACGAGTGCGTGAAACGCAGGAATCATAAATTTTTCAGTAGGTCGGGGGCTACTGAAAAATTTAGGACGATTTTGCCTGGGGAATCCTAAATCTTTTAGGACTCGTCCTAACGCCGTTTTCACATTTTCGATCTCCGATTTCGTTTTACGACTGTGTGCAACGAAGACGCAATCCTAAAAACTGGCACTTTTAGGAATGTCTAACGAGACCCTAACACTGATGGGGGTGTTTGAAAAAAAAAAAAAAAAAAAAAAAAAAAAAAGGTTGGTGCAGGCAATGGGCTATGTTCATTTCTAGGTTACCTGAAGGCCGTTTCTGTCCAACATGTTCCCCCAAATACAACTCACCCTCATCGTGACTGTACGGGACTACATGGGACCGACAAGATAGCTTTGTGTATACATTCATAGCCCCAAAGCTCTTGGGTACCATTCAGGTCGAATGGGACAGGGGGCTTGTAGCACCTACCTAAGTGAATCACAGATCCGAAGCATCCCAGATAGATGGACTAGCTAAAGTCTTCCGCACACTCAATCAGGGCCAGGACACAAAGTGGGCACTTGAACTACAAAACTGCTTGCTGGAGTCAGCACTGCATTTCTTTTGTGCGGTCCCCGGGCTCGGCCCAATTCCCAGCATGTACTGCTTGCTGGAGGCAGCACTGCATTTCTTTTGTGCGGTCCCCGGGCCCGGCCCAATTCCCAGCATGCGCTGCTTCTCACAAATAGATCGGAGCAATATTCTCATTTTTTGAAGGGGAAAAAACTTACTCACACTAGGACCTTCCCCGTCTGTGTCGGACCATAAATACAGCCAAAGCTCCCAAACCTAAATAACTTCCCTTTGGCCCCCTTTTTTTGTTTCTTTTTTTTTTCTTTTTACTTAAACTGAGATCTCCCTCCTCC